TAATCGCCTTTAATTACCTCGCTATCCAAGCCCTGTTATTCTTATCGCGCCCCTTGAGCTGTTTCGTTTGCATGCTTGCGCATTTTTTAAGCCAACCACCATCGTGCGAAATGTTATATCGAACACATTCTTGAAATTTTGGGGTTTTCCCAGAATGGTCTGGAAAAGGCATTTCGATGAACGTGCGCAGTTACAATAGGAGAAAAGGCCTAGGCTTAGGCATTTTTTGAGTTTGAAAAACAGTATGCATTGGGGTCTATCTCCGGTAAACACAACGCCATATCAAGCATGATAAACAAAAGGTGTTTGTACAGAAGCTATACCACAATGCACCACGTTCACGATCAGTATCAAAAAAGGTCTATGGCGAGGGGACATATTTCCAAGATGGCGTCTATTTCGTCCCCTAAAATAACCCAACAGATGCACTGCAATGCTAACTCGAACAAGTTTTTTCTTCAACCTCGGAATGGCTGATAGTGCTTTTGATAATGGTTTGAAGAAGTTCACCCCTGAGAACATCTTCTCTGGGCTTCCTGTGTCAGCAGGTCGTGCCGACCTAATTGACCCAAGATAGACTTCCTATTGACTCTTGAAAGAACCGACGACACTAATTGATTTCTTGCAAAGCGACGACATGTGTTCTTGTCTGTGTGATGCTCTTACAATAGACTATGTCGCAAACCGCTGGCATTCAAGAGTCTGGCTCATTTTCTTGGGATAATTTTACCAGATGGAATGCGTTGATAACAATGATAGTATGTGGCTGCCATAATGCGATTATTTACACTACAGGAAGAATTATCTAATTACTGTCAGTGGGTTATAATTAATTACACCTAGTGGGACATACTTCTAAAAACTCCTGCCCTTTCACAGGCAACACAACGTAGGTTAGCCTATGCGGAGGAACTTCTTCTGCTCTATTTTTGATACTGCAATTGCCATTCCTAGTTTTCGCGGGGATTCGTGTTTGTTTTGTTTTGTTCGTTAGTTTTTTAGGAATAAAGAGGGAAAACTTCTCTAGACGTAGATCAGTTTACAGCGTCTGAGCGTCTACAATCGGCCTATTAATCTGAACCTTCTTTCCTCAATAAAAACTAACCGCGGTGCCTGAGCGACTATGAGAATTTGTAGACGCAACAACAGCAACGAAAAAGGAAATCATAACATGCAATGGTTTGGCTGTCATCTGATTAGCTTGGTGATTAATGAGGTGCTAGTTCTGTAGGCTTTTGATAATTGTCGTTCTTTGCTACAGGGGAGGGGAGGAAAGAACGCAAGAATAGCAGAGTACAGGCATTGACAGGCAAACCCTTATCACCTCACGTACTGTTGTTCGTGGTATTTTTGTTCCTGCTTCATTTTCAAACTCAGAAAAATCACCGTCATACGAGAGACATGAAAATCTTGCGGTTTTGGCATGGTATTTTAAAATGGGTGTAAAAAGCCATTGATATGCACAAAGAAGTACATTTTCTTTAGGATAATTTATTAGTGTACGTGTTGATGAAAAAAACCATGCCAATGAGTGTCATCTTCAGCAACAGTACCGGGAGACATACACCTTGTCGGCAAGGCACGAGACAAAGCAACAAGGTCATTTCTAACTAACCTGCCGACTTATGTAGTGCTTTCAGTGATTTAAAAAGAAGGACGTACCTGCTTACTGTATCAGTATCGTTCTTACCTCCGTAAAGTTATAATCCGGTGACCTTTCTCACTCTTGCTGAAGTACGCTAACAAGGCAGTGACCCGAATGATTTATTGCCTTCACGACTCTTAAAAAATGATTTTGAAATTCACGCCTACGACAAAATCTATACTAAGAGATGGTCCTGGAGTTTAGTTTGAAAGCATGCGTTTTGTTTTGGAGCGGAAGCTTAAAAATAGAATCAAACTGATGTAAAAGTACGTCGTTGAAAATGAGCTGTTCACAAAGAGACAGCCAGAAATGGTCAAACGTGGCAAAATGTGCTTGAAGAGATTTTAGCTCAGCACCATCAAAATCTACTTTAGAGATATATCAAAAATCAGTACAGAAGAAGAATATCTGATTATTGGCTGAAAATTCCATTTGTTTTGCTAAGGATTATAATTGCAAAATAAACCAAATCACGCGTTGGCCCCGTGTCATCCCTGCGGCAAGATGACACRGATCCTTTACTTCTGGGGTACCAAAAGAACACACAATCAGAAACGGGGAACAAAGTTTGATGGAGATAAACTGATTTGTTTTTACAGTAGATATATGTATAGTAAGTATTGATAATTGATTGTACGATGTCTTAAATATGAAGTCGTCKTTTAGTTAAGAACACCGCCCACAGGAATGCAATACTTGAAATATGCTTCTTGCAAGAGTGCCTTGCCCGTCTAATGATCCATCTGGGCACAAATCTAAGGGTGGACCCAAAACCTCAAAATAGAGTTACGACTCGCTAAAATGAGAATCAATACAATTGCTTATGAATGACTGCAACTTTATTTCTTTGTACAACATCATATATCGTTATTTACAGCTCGTAACTAATAAAAATGCACGTGAGAGATATATTTATTGCTCCAAGAGATTCTTTGTTAAAGCATGTGAAGTATGGACATATCGTAACGAGATCCATACACAAGGCATTCCATATCAAGTGTGATCTTAGTGCTCTTGTTATTCCWAAGTTAATATGACAATACCCAACTTTTAAAGATGTAGAGGTAACGAGCTATTTCACATAAAAAAAAGATTTTTATCAGCCACAGATACAACCAATCTGTTAACCAGAAAGGATTAGGAAAAGGTTATCGCGCTCTGGTTGTCTGTGGGCCCTACGCGAGGGCTAAAAATTCAGCCTTGAAATTTACCCGCATGAATCACAATGGCACCGCCCCATTGCATTCCCCTTTCTTTACAACAAAAATATAAAAGATTTCACTCTTTGGAACGATACGATACTCTTTCGCTTTAAGAAGCGAAGGGAAATACCTTGAATGAAGTTAAAAACCATTTCCATATGAGAGTTGCAGTTAGTGAAGATGTTTTCCAGTTCAGCGATGATACTAATCAGTGTGGAGTTTCACTCAACCTTTAATGATCAAAATGTTACGACTTCTTCGTAAAATAAGGCAATTTTTCATGAAATGGCCACAAAAGATCTCTCATTTGCAAACGCTACTGTATTTTATCTAGGTTGATATTTTTTTAGCAGTAAGAAAGCCAGAATTTCTGTGATAGTATTGCAAGTTTATTGAACCTTACTCATTCTCTAGTCGAATGTCAACAACAATGATCTGCATCTGATAAGAATAAAACTCAGAAACTGTAACGTATGGTGTATATAGCTTATACTAGTTCATCTCCCAGAGAGTCTTTGGACACCATTGATGATAAAGTTATTCAAAAAAGACATTTACAAGAGTTCCACTTTGGAGTCGGTCAACTTGGCTGAATCAAAGAATTCAGGGGCAGTTTATATTTCTCTGTAAATTAAGTTGTGACAATGAAGTACCTACAAAAAAATTGATAGTATTTCTTTGATTTCTGACATCAATTCTACATTACTTGAGCCATATTTTAATTTACGTTTGTACGTCCTTCAAAAATTAGCCCAAAACCCGATTTTGTCTCGCAATAAAAAGCTAACAACTCTCTTGTTTGGGCTTTATTGAGTATACTGAGATGAAGGAGCCGAAGAAAGCACGAAGTCAAAAATATTGGCCCATTTCCTTCCCGCAATCCACCACGAAAAACTAGTTGAAAAACTAGTGCAAAATACAAGAGATAAAGGTCTAGGTAGTCTCGTTATCGAGGATTAACCTGCAGGCGAAGGTTGATTCTTAACCACTACAAACTTACTGACCTCTGAATGACAGCGAACAAGAAAGAAGTCAAGTGAAAGAACTACCTTGGATGTTACCATGAACAGAAATAAGGCCATCGTTTCACGCACTTCTCTTCGGATCTTCTTGTAGAAAAGCATGTAAAATACTCTAGAACAAATATTCAGGATTAAAGTAAAGAGTTCAGGATGCTTGCGCAATACTGAAACTGATCTATTTTGCGTTGAAAACCGTAAGTAAGAAAATCAATTGGCCACGCGTACGGGGAAAAGGGGTCGAAATGAATCTGCGTCTTAAGGAGCAAACTGTTTGCTTGTTCTTGCATAAAACGAAACTCTACTCCTTCCAACGATTTCTGTACATCTGAATTCTCAGGAATAAAAGTACACGATCATGAAGTTCCCCACAAATATTTGAGCAAAATATTGGTTTAGGGTTGTTTAACAATTTGGCTCACTAGACTATTTCTTGCTTGGGTATGTGGATAAAATAAAAGCCACCTTTCTTTGCGAGATGAACAACGATTAAAAAATCAATGAAATAAAAAAAATAATGAATAGCTTGAGTTTAACTAAGAAAGTTTTTTAGTCATTGCTGCACTAAAAATATTTCCACGCACGACATAGTTGATGGATAAAAATACGTATACAGCCCGCAAAATTCTGGGTGTACTGTATATGTCGGTCTCGCCTGGGTGGTTCGATGAATACTTCCTCTAATTAGCACGAAACCAACCAACGTCAGAAGATTTGCTTTAAGAATTAAACAAGACAAACGACAACTGCTGAGAGGTTAAAAAAATTATTCCTCCAAATCAAAAAGGTTAAGAGCGTTTAGCGTCTATAGATCCACGCTCGACTCCTGCCACCGAGAAGCCAAGATATTACTTTACGGGCCGTGAACAAATGATGCGAAGTTCTTGTGAAGTTGTCCCTAGTTTAACCTTTTTCTGGGAAATAAGACTCAACGGCGTCGTTCTCTTAGGAAGGGCACATTTTTGTTATAGAACCATAAATCATTTCTTTATGTAATTTAAGCGACAGTTACCTCTTGGAGCTCAACTATTTTGTATCACATTCCCATAGTGTCATTTCCATGATTTATATTTTGTACCTTTGCGCTTGAACCCGGCAGTTAAAATAACCTAAATTTAAGAATAAAGGCAAAGCTTAGAATTTACTCCTTCATTTATTTACACAGACTTGTATGTACCTTAAAAGTCTTAAAACAAACGGCTAGAAAAGAGACTACGAATATTGATTGACATTATTGAGTGCACGTAAATACTTGCTCTGCTTTTCGCGAAAGAACACGAACAAAGATGAACATCTTTTATTCAATTGACATTGAATTTGCTTTTCTGAAAAGGTTTTCAGCCAAAGAAAACTAAAATCAACAAGACCAAGTCAAATACTGCTTTATCTGTTTAAGAACATTAAACCTGACTGTTTTGTAGTGTTTAGTTTTGATCTAGTGAGCCTTAAAAGTGGTAAACATTTAGTGACATCAATGACCTACTCCACTAAATGCCTTCCTTTCCCAAAGCTAGAAAATTGTTACTCGTTATTAATCGCTTAAAATCAAACATTTCCACCGTTCTCACGGTCTTATAATCGAATTACCCCAATGCTATGCTTAAAGAAACAGATTTCAATTAATTTTGAAATACTTTTTGACGTAAAAGAGCTGTTTGGCACCCCGGTTTTCTCAGTTTATCCATCATTTTTGACGGTTGTGTTTCCAAACAAGAACACAGGCGAAGATTTATCGACTGCCTAGATTCTTTAAACATGATACCATAAGAAAAACTTTTATACTTCAGTTTTAAAAATTGTACAACATATCTAGAATAAATATTTCCTTTTTGAAAAGCAACAGGAAAATTAATTGATCTTGAGTTCAACAGGCATGAGAATAGTACGAGTAACTAACTCAGTTTGTTCACAGTTGTGTGTCAATTCTCTCCAAAGTCAACTCCCCTCAGTTTGAGTTCATATCGTTTAAGCATAATCCCACAATGAGAATTTTGTTACAGCACAATAACTGATTAATTTGGAGTTGATAAAAGTTATTCTTACTAACCTAAACTTTAGTTTTCCGGTAATCACTGAGATGGTTTGTCCTGCATTTCAGATGATTCGCGCTAATTGAAGACACCGAAATACTACGGAGCGTAATTCAGAATTGTACTATAATATCTCACAGGGAGTTATCTTCAGACCAAATGAAAAAACAATGTGAATAGTGCAAGCTGAGACACTTAATTATAAAAATTATTTCTTGTAATCATAAATCAAATGGCAATTTTCTTTGCAATACTAACAAAAGAAACGTTTCAACACTAAATTCCAAGGGGGATAATTAAAGGTACACGATGTCTTCCGAGGAAGATTTACGATTAGTATAACAATGATTTAGGCATGGAATAATTCAATAATTCCTAATAATTCAATTTGAAGTCAGTATGTGGGCTGGTATATTAGATAAAGATGATTTAGGATTTACAAGAATCTGGTATAAACAGAATGGTGTCCTGATAAACGAGAGAGGATATTTAACTATATGATTTATGATATAACATACTTTGAACGAACGTAACTTATTATGAATGAGTTGTATAAACTTAAACGAATGGAGCAACCTTGATTTTTGTGCAAGGCTTTAAATATATCATTAATTCTTAATAATGAGAACACAAGGGCCTTTCAAAGAAGCGCCTTTATATTTATAATACTCTGTCTTGCAAGTTCTAGTTTACTACAGTCTAACAAAGGCAAACGAATGCCTTAGAATATACCTCCGTTCAGTAAGCATGCCAGATGTAAGTCCTGTCCTTAGAGTGGCTTCTTTTGACGCAGATATGTGTACAACACTGCAAGTCCTATTAATCCATCAATTGTCATGCACAAGGAAAGCAATTGAAGTCAAAATTCTAAATTCTTGCAAATCTTTTGAATCTCCTTGGGCGCCATGATACTCGACGCTTCCACGTCGGATTTCAGTTCTTCTACGTCTCTACGAAATCTTGCTCTTCTATTTTGAAACCACGTAATTATCTGTGCACCGGACAATCCAAGCATGATCGAGAGCTCATCCCTATCCGAAGGAGAAAGATATTTTTGGAACATGAATCGTCGTTCAAGCTCAGATATTTGTTGATTTGTGAAACATGTTCTTGGCTTGCGTCGTTTTCTTTGGTTAAGTCGCGCTTGCAGTGCAGCCAGTTTTTGCTCCAGTGTAAGAGTTGCTGTAGACAAGTAAAACGATTGAAAATATAAATCAACAAAGAAAAGCGAAATATTAGTTGCTTCAATCTCAATGGTGACCACAAGCTTGGTCGTAAAACCAGTTCCCTGAGATTGTACTCTACAGGCAGCACAAATCCGGCAAAATCCCATCCAAAGTGCGCTCTAATTTTTTGACAATTTTCAATCAAAGAAACTTCTAATGCACCCGGTGAGATGAAGAGAAGTTATTCAAAATATTATAATGAACAAAATGTACACAGTACTTAATCTATTCTTTGAAAGAATCTCAACTGTAGCTGTCCAAAGTGCCAACCTGAAATGCTTTTTACAACTGTCCCGGGGTCATAGTTGTTAGCTTTTTGAGAACAAAAGGTGCCTTAAATGATAATTTGTTCGGATTGTCACAAAATACAAATTTCAGACTTCATAAACACGCTAAAAACTCATCGTGGAACTCCCAAAAAAATATCAAAAACTACTTAAATTCAAATTCCATACTTAGGGTAACAGGGTATTATCAGAAAGTACTAAAATGCTATACTTACGGATTTTTGGAATTTTGGATCGTTCATCACTCACGTCCTTAAGGGTCGTGCTGGCAAACTCCTCTAGAGTGTTGAGAGCAGTTCTCGTTTGATCCGGTATTTGAGGGTACTCTTGCATATGTTTATTCTGAGCATTGTTTCTATATCCTCGTTTTGGATGAGGCGAATTGAGTATAGCTTCTATAGAGAAAGAGAGCACTTTGCTTTGAGTTCGATTGGAGTTCTCATGTTCTCCTGCAGCAGACCTCACATTATCACCAACTTCTCCACGTGAATTTTTGGAAGGGTGTAGGTTTTTCTTGTTTTCATCCCTTGGACCATCACGGTTGTGTTTACTCGTACGAGAGGAATTTTGTTGAACGGTAATCATTGCTGCAACGAGATCCACTGATTTTCCAGTCAAGTTCGGCGGGGTTCTTCACCGCACTCCCATTACCTTAATCTGTTTGATCCGTCCTTTCTCGCCCGGCTTTATGCAACAGCCAGCTTGAAACCAACTCGAAGATGAGGCGCGTCAATTAAATCATACCTCTAGTGTGAAATTGATGACTAATTAATTAAAGTATTGACTCATTTGCGCCAGCCAATCCGAGCAGCGCGCCGCGACAGTAATTCAATCGGCTTGACAGAATCAGTGGTTGGCAACTGCAGAGTTGACTTGAACAGTCCTGTCAGCACTATCAACCAGGTCTCGTTAGGATAATGACAACATTTTGCAAGCTGCCAAATTACCCTTTTGTAAAGTTTGACAAACAATTACGCTTGAAACGGCTGTCCCTTAGTTCAACAAACTTCATCAAAGACACGCTCTGTCTATCTCTCGCTCTTGGTAACGAAATTTCCATCCAAGAATAGGTGCATTTTCATCCGCGAAGTATAATGTTACGCGGTCGGTCGATTAAATAGCATCATTATCTCTTGATACCTTAAACCTTTATCTTCAGATATCTCCTAATTAATTTAAGTCATTGTTCGCCCACTTGACGTCCCCGCTTACCTGTCGCATAATCCAAGACTTTTTTCTTTTGAACGCGATCTGTGCACCGCCAGCATTATATTTTTRAAGGTTCATTTTTGGCTATGAACGAAGTAGCACACGAGGCCTTTCAATCTATCTAGCTCCGCAACGCAAATATACATCACAGCACCAAATGGCTTGATCACGGCGTCTGTCAGAGGGAGAGAGAAGAGGTTTTCTTTAGAGATTCAATGCTAAATTCTTTTTAATGTTTTGTTGTCAAGATCTGATTCTGCCATCTGTGGCGCTAAGGGTGTGTCACGGATGTCCGATCGGCCCTAAATACAACTGACATGTCTTTTCTATTCTCCTTTGTGCGAGAAAGTTAGCTCCTAAACGTATGTCATCGATTCCATTCGCGTTTACTTCTTTTTTTCTTCTTATTCATTCCTTCCTACCACAAGAAAATCCGATGGTAATGACTATAGCGAAGAGAAAAGCTAAAGTAGAATCTTAACAACACTGAAAATATGATAATGAGAGAAAGAGGAATTCCCAAAAAGTGTGTTCTGCAAAGTTTTTTAAATTAAAAAATAGTCAAATTAGTTAAAAGGTTTTTTAATTGACCTTTGAATTGGCTGGGACGATAGCCTTCCTCGCTTTCATGCGCTTCAGGATGAGTACATTATGCTAGCGTTAAGTGGCTTTTATCATGGGATACGCATGGCGGTCGCATCATTAAACTAAGTCCATGCCAAGAACTATTACTCGATTATGAGTATTCGGGATAGTTTTGGCCCAGATATCTATCACTCACAACACTTCCTTCGTGAAACTTTTTTCCAAAATATCAAAAAGGCAACGTACAATTTTTGCGGGTTTCCATCCGGTAGGGATTCGAAACACTGAGACAACAAATCCTACAGTGAAAACAAGCATATCTTTAAGTAATTTTTTGGACTTGCTTTTCTTTCATTTATCTGGGAAACCCCTATTATACGATTCAACTTTTGCACAGAGCGCTTTCTTGAGTTCTTCACAAGAGGATAAAAAAGAAACCGCGCACTTTACTCCTATCCGGACTTCAACCTCGTCCAATTACCCTACTTCCTGTACACTAACATTCATAACCGAGGCTATGGCGGTTTAGCCGATAATTTTCTCTGGTCGTGTATCACCTCAAAAATCTCCGACGCAAAATATCACTATAAGCATAGGTGTGATTCATTCTCATGGAAAAGGATTTGTGCACAGAGGAACAGAGAAATATTTGATTGACAAGCGGCAAAGTGCACAACAAGTTCGATTACCTAAAGTTTTGAGGGCATGCATCAACTAAGTACGTTGTCTTAAGCAAAAATACGAATATTCAGGTTTTAACATGAGGGAACTTTGTCTACAAGAGCTAGGAAACCTTAAGATAACGAGGGAACAAAGCAAGCCACTTAGTGAATAAGTTAAAGTGTTGAGAGCCTTTTTTTAAAAACTTAACGACGAAATATATTTTTCATAAATGACTGGAATTCTTTGCAATATTACTTGGTTATATCAAATTGAGCTTAGACGGTCCATCTTTTATTAGTAAACTCGCATGCATACGGACGAAAATCATTACGCTTTTCAAGGGCTCTTTGTTTTCTAAGTGTTCTATTCGCGAAACAAAAGCACTGTCAATTGCAAGCTTCTTGAAACCCTTTTTTCCTGAAAATTTTACGCGTTTCCCCAAGAAATTTAAAGTCAGCTTTTGGTAAAGAATATTTGCAAATTTAAAGCTACGATTCCAGACATGTTAACCCGCTAATAGGCATTGAAAGATTGTGTTTATTTTGAAGGGAAACTAAGATGCAAAATTCGTTTCAAGAAGTATTGACAATGAGCAATTATCAAAGTGCATTTTGAAACCTATAATTAGAAAAAGATTAATTTGTACTTTAGTCAAACTTTGTTCAATAGAAACGATAATTGCTTCTGTTGATTCATTAAGGAATTTGTGTATTTGTCTATTAAATATATAATTAATTTTCAAGCACAACTTAGCAGGATCTTTTGTAGTCTACTTTAAACATGTAAAACAGACATGTTTGATGGTGTCAGTAAACAAACTCAGTTCAGCCGCGCTGGGAATCAATTTAAGTGCAAGGAAAACCAGAACAAAAGCATTAACTTTTTCTCTCTCGGAAACCGGCTTTACAAAATAATTTTCCTGATTTTAAAAGAAAAGTTATTTTTAGTAAGGTGTTTTTTTGGCAATGGCGGACGCAGTTAAATTTGGATTTTCTAATGATTACCTAAGCAACAAAGTATCATGCATACATGCAGTTCAAACATGGTTGGCTAGCAACCGTAGCAGTACAACTCTATGAATCGAATGCTAGTTTTTTGAATAGTGCAAAGGCGACTTGCAGCTTGTCTGTTCGTTAGCTAGCATCACCTCTAGCCGGGGTAAAAGTCGTTTCGCTTTAACTTGTACATTAGCTCACCCGACGTGTCGGGATCTAGCATTTGTAAACATAGCTTGACAGGCAATAAATTAACTTCAGAGGTGCTAATTATCCGAGGGGGTAAGAACGCGGAAACTTTCTGTCTTAAAGACTTGGTAATTCTCTTTACATTGTCAAGAACAGAACGATTTGATTCTTGATTAAATCAAAAGGGAAAAGCGAAGCATACAATTAGATAAGAAGACTTTCTCAATCAAATTTTTGATAAGGCGAACTTTTATTTTCGTTGAAATTGTGAAGTAAAAATCAGACAAATACGCCCGTTTGAATTTTTCTCTAACTGTCGTTTTAATAGACAAACTCAAGATCTGTTATGTTAACAAGCAGTTCAGCTCTAATTAAATGATTTCTTTGGTAAACCTAGAATTGTCGAACTAAAGTAATCAGTCACAAGTGGCAGCCTATTTTGTCAACTTTCGGGGCTAATTTATAAGGAGTAGTACTATAGTCCGATTATAAGGATTTAAAGCTAAAGCTTGAAAGAACTATTTATAGGCCACTGTCCACAAGATATCGTAAGAATTAATCCGATATTGTGAATATCTTGTTCTGAACTTGTCGGGAACGCCCCGTGCCTCTTTTAGGGAAGTCAAAGTTGAAGGCCATTTGTACTGTTGGACTATTCCATTGCAACAACAAGCACCTTTTATGAAAATCTCAAATAAATTCCTTTTTTCTCTCGAAAATGTTAGTTCAGCCAGTAGAAGGATACAAAAATGGATTTCGCTTCGTACCAAGTCAAAGCCGCTTCACCCTTTTTTCGCTCGTATGAAACACTGATATGGGAAACTTTAGGTACGGAGGGGAGAGGGATATAAAAATCATCGAAAATTGAAGGCCAGGAAATGACCAGAGAGTATTATACCATAATAATTGTCATGTGTCAAGTAGAGTAATGCCCAAATGATTGAACGCCGCCCCGAAAGAATAATTGTAAAGAAGGTGCTAATTGACTCAGGGGGGTAAATCTAGAGTTGTTGTGGTATCATAAATGAAGTGTTACCTTCATGTTTATCTTTAATGCTTTTTATTTTTTTTATTTGAAGTCATAGCCACCGCCATGTTGGATGCCACTTATGAAGTTTGGTAAACCAACATGGCTGACATAGATTGTCTTAAGATGAAAATCGAGGCATTATTGCTTAGGAGATTACGTCTACTCGATTATCAGAAGTCAATTTTTAATTATGCTTTTTTAAAAGGCTAAAAAATCATCATTTAAAATAAGATATTACCTGTAAAAAGTTATTAGAACATTAAGAGTTTCCACTGAGTTCGTAGAGACTGGGACGACACAGCTGAAAACTTCCTATCACCATAGCAACAGTGTAAGCAGTGCGAAAAAAAATGGCGGAGGCAGAAACTTTGAGCTCGTATATGAACAATAATATCATCCGTGGGACTCCTTCCCCGCTGCCTAGACCTTATTTACCTGCATTGCCACCTCGTACAACGACTAAACCATCGTATTCTAGGTTAGAAGAAAGCTTTTGAGCTAAATAGCAGGACTTTTGTCTATCGCTATGCGGGTGTTTGAGAGAGCGCGATGTTGTGAAGTTTTGTTGACTTTGAGCTTGTAACTTCACTCAAAGTTATTGACTCTTATTATGTAATTTAACTAAGGTATCTTGAAGAAGCTCCGGTGACTGCTTTGCAAGGTGTTATTGCCGATGCCCGTGAACCACCAAAGGTATGTTTAATAAAAACAAATTAGCAACAAGAATGAAGTGAATTATCGCCGAGCTGTGAGACAAATAACTTATTGTTAATCAGGCTTACATCTCTTTTTCTTTCTTACTCAAAACATTCAATAAAAAGGGATGCCAGCTCAGGCATTGATCGTAATATTATTTTTGCATATAACCTTACATTTAAGGCAATGCGGGTGCTGCGACTTAAAAATAATCATATATAGGTTGGATCTTTAGTTGGTTCGTCCTAGATACAATGAAAATGATAAAGTACTCCTTTCTAGGCATCGGTCTTATGAATTTTTTTTGGAAGCTAGCAAAACATGTAGTTCTGATTGCATGCTATTCTTGCTAGAGATTAATATCATTCAGAGATAATATTATAGAGATATTATTGCAAAGAAATTGCTGGATTAATATTTAATACTATAACTACTTATGCTACAATTAAACTCATGTCTTAATGTTCATTTTATAACAATGGATGCCAGTTAAAAGAAAAAAGAAAAAATGTCGAACCTGTCTTTTGATCTATTTCTTTTAATGAACTTCAAGCCCCCGAAACTCCAAAGGAGCCGTAACCGCCTGCATGTTGGCAGCACAAATAGATGGCGGCTTGCAAATTCTCTGGGAAGTGACCTACTTGGTTCAAACCAGGCACTTAAAGCTGCTAGTAGCTCTTACAATGATACTATTATGGCACTTATGACAGGTGAGATGCCACATGTCAATGTACAGTAATATTGGTATGCAGACTGAAGCATCTACAGGGAGTATAGTTTTTCTAAATGACAGTCTTCAATATATTTCATATTATTATTAATCTTACAAAAACAATATTGATTCTATAGCTGATAATCCCATGACAATGTATCACCATGATAGCACAGAGCCTGCAACTAGCTCAAAAGTACCTACACATAGCTTGATCTCACCAAGGTTTCTAAAATCACAACCTGCACTGTCTAGTGTGGTGTGGAGAACAGGAGCTTCTCAATGCATGTTAAAATCTCAGCCATTTACGTCATTGGGCTCAAGCAGACAAAGGTACATGTCTATGTTAAGATCACTCATGTTACATTTTTAGGATTTAGGAATATGAGGAATACATATAAAAAACAGCATGTTTGGTATCCAAGAATGCTTCAGGGGGTATACCTGGGATTTCCCCTAGAGGGAATACTTGTTCTCACTAATCCCAACAATTCATCCCTCCCTCCCCCTCCTCTCCACCCCATACATTACAAAGTAAGTAATACAAATGAACTGCCAATGAAAGGTGGTCACAGGGGCACCCCAAGACATTTTTTATTTTTATCTTATTAACTTTACAACCAAGTGAGCATAAACACAAATGATACATACACAAGACACAAACCCACTAGCATAAATAGATAAACAAAACAATTAAAAAATTACACTACACTCTGCCACACTGGTTGAAGTACTGACCAACAGGACACTGGGTCCTATACAAAGGTCAATTAGGTCAACCTTCCTTAGATGTGAAAATCAATAAAGAAGTATGAAGTATCTGAAATTAACTTCGTGAACAGGTATACTGATGCTGAAAGAGAGCAAGGCATACCTACCCCATCCCAACTGAAACAAATAGAATTCCAGAAAAATTTCTTGCCTCCAAATATGCGATGTCCAACTCCAATGGAGCTGTTTCTGCATCGATCACAGACTGCAAATGCATACAAAACACCAGGTGAGATGCCGCAAATAATGAAAATAATATAAGAATGTTTCCCTTAGATTCTCCAGACTGAATCTGTAGAAATCCTAATTCCCCTTTAAGGAGAGATATGATATCCTCTGGGGAAAATATATATACCTCCACAATCTCCCCACCTCTTATAAATCTCAATCCCTTGTGTTAAAGAGGTATAGACCCCTTGCAGCATGTTGGAATGCAGCTCCATCTGGGGGACAAAACAATAGGTTCCAATTTTCAGGAGATTGGAATTCTTTTGTTTTGTACCCCAGATCGAGCTGCTTTGATATCACATGCAAGGTGTCTATCGATATTTTGTAGACCTACACATACCTAGAGATTTGGGAATTCAATAAGAGAGGGGCTATGCAGTGATTCTAAAACATAGTGGTAAGCTGATTGCCATCTTTGATTGACAGATGTCATTCTCCATGCATTGGACACAACATGGGAGCTACATAAGCCTTTCCTACAGAAGTCTTCTTTACTTAGTGCTATGGTTAGAAGAGCTGACCAGTCAGGGTTGAAACTCATCTCGGAAGAAGATGAGGATATGTCTACTGCTATTGCTAGAGGTAGGTTGTGCTGCAATATAAGAAGGTTTTGAAGTGGGGGTCCTAATCCCATTTCGCAGCCCCTCATTTTGACCAAATCCCATAGTCCCAGCCTTTGTTTTGCTCAATTTTTAATCCCATTCCCATTTTTTGATCTTTGTGTGTAAATTCTTGAAGTTGTTCCTTTTATTGAGAATAAAAGAATGGGATAGCTGGTATATTTAACAATTATTCGCCAAAGGCAAGTGAATATCAGGTAATATGTACCAAGATGCAAGTCTTCAAGCAACAAGTGGTAAATATTCTCTGATATTCAATGAGGCTGAGGCAAATAATTGTTTTAGTATAAATACACAGGTGATTCTTTCAAAAAAAAAAAAGGAAAAAAAAGAAGATAAAAGACATTTTTTTCCGGTAACAGCAACAAAGCGATTGGCCGCCATTTTGGGATTATCACAGGAGGTGATTATCGTGTGACAGTGTCGTGTGATAGTGTGAGTTGCTCGACAAATCAGCGCGCGAGATTTTCAATAATCACCTGTGTATTTTTACTAATGGTTAATATAGCTAAAGAAACATAGTAAAATGGTTTTTGTAAAGTATCCAACATGGTGGCTATACCTATAAAGTCACATACGCCCTAAGACTTTAACACGCGCATTTCTACTTCAGTGACAGATGCGGGGAGTGTATATCTCCAAGCCCTAAAGACAGCTGCCGCTAGAGAGACAAAAGGAATCTACAATGATCGATACGCGGAGAACTTTCCTAAGACCTCTAGCTTTATGGACAGAGTACTGACACTAAAACTGAGAATAAGAGATCCTCTAATTACCAAGCACAGTAAGTATAGAATGGCTTTGTATTTTGTTGCCGTTATTTCCGGCGGAATTCCACTTACTATAGAATCTTGTTCATGATTAGATTTAACTAAAGATTTTTTCGCCCGCCAGGTTTCGCCCGTRCTTTAGCAGCGCTATTTGAAACAGAGAATGAGATGAACGTACAGCAATCAGATGTTGTAGGAGTTCTGGCTGCTGCTCATTTTCTGGGCTTCGCAGCTCTAGAACGAGTGTAAGTACTACGAACTATCTCGCATGTTTGTGTGTATGTAAATGTTTCAAGCAATGTGAACATATTATATATTTTATTTTGAAGAAATAGAAAACGCGCACACTGGGATTAGCACTCACGAAAGGTGCAATGCGCAGCGGATCGCTTCTCGCTTCTGTTCTGCCAATCCCCAAGTGGTTTACAACTTTACACAGCACAGCAAAAAAAAATACAGTTTATAAAATGAAAATTAGAATGACCGTTAATTCGGCACGTGCGCGCATGTGCTGGGTGCTTTCATAAAGCATGCGCCTCCAACCAATCAGAACGTGAGATTTATAACAGTTATCGCATATTCCGCTGCAACAGTCTGTAGTGCGGGAGTTGCGTGAAACTGAAACTGCTTTGAAACCCTCTATTATCAACTTTCTCAGTATGAATATATTGGTAGCCTTCAGAATTCTTCTATAGCTGCATACTTAATTTGAAAGTCAAATTAAAGTTGTTTTTTCTATTTGTATTGATAACATGCAGGTGTGCCAATGTAATGCTCAATGCAATTGATTCCTGGTCCGTCTGTGCCTTTCATGCCGCAGCAACTAAAGTACGTACATGTAACGCGTCTTTATATACGCTATCATTAGGCAGATTAAGATTCTCGTTTTTCCTTCCCGCAAACGGCAAACGTGACCACGTTTTCATCGTTTCCCTACATTTCAATTAACCTTTTGCAAACCTCGACAAAGACAAGTATTCTTTTGTTTATCTACTACTTGGAGATTTTTGCGATTCCTTTTCACTAATTTCAAAGAATTTTTTAATTGTCAACTGACGTTTCACGTTTGCCGTAAACGAGAATCTTAAAGTCTCTATTGCTTGAGTAGAAGATTGTCGCTAAGCAACAGATACCTAATGATGATGGTATTTTGTTTGTTCAGTATAAACAAGTAACAGTGGCTGAATCGTGTGAGAGATGGCTCGAGGTCAACGTCGTTCCACAGGTATGGCACTACTTAAATCTGTTTTAGATCTGTTACAGGAAGCCATCTGTAATTTAGATACTAATCTGGTAATGTTATGTGCGTTTTTTCCCCGTTACAGCTGAGCGTGCAAATCTATCTCAGTCATCTCCCTCAAGACCTGTTGGAAAAGACTCTGAAATCAACCAGGTAATGCGAACTCATGACATGACATTCATTTAATATAGCTTTACCTCAAAATTCACTATTCTTTCCTATGTTAGGTTGTTCACATGGAGTGAGTACTCTTTGTACAAGCTTCTTTGTTATTGGATCTTTTTACAGCAGCACCCAAATCTACAGGTAACTACACAACCTATTGACTAATGATGATGATGATGATAATGATGTTGGTGATGATGATGATGATAATGATGATGATGATGATGGTATTCTATAGAAGCATATATCTACAGAGTATAGCTCTACATCTTCACAATATATGACTTAATTTTTTTTATCTACAGCTTATGCCATCTTGGGGTACTGTAGTCACGTGGTTCATGAGGTATGAGATTTCAAGGAGTTCGGCCAGAACTAAGATTTTCGCCATGCATTAAATAATGTCTTTTATTCTGTTGTTTTGTTTACAGCTTGCCTAAGACCAGTTCTTTCCTGGAAAGAGAAGAGGTATTCCACACATAAACTATATTTTATATGCAATTCTACCGAGATTCCGGTCTAGCCCAGATAACCAATGATCGTACTTAAAATTTACTAATAAAGTTCTAATATTGGGAGATTAAATCCGTTAATTTCTCTTTTTCAGGGATATGGTTATGTTAGCTTGTTTAGAAGCGTCAGAATGGACGGAATAACAGACAGTAAGTTTTAACGTAGAATGGTTTGAATGACTGAGAGAAACTCATGGTGCGGACTTCCGTGCCGTGCCGTGATCATAGTTATGTCAAATCTAATCAGAATATCATAATTGGACAAAATATAATTTCACGCGTTGTGATTGGTTCAACTGATTCTATACCGTGACCGTGTCAGGCGCGGTGATCGTAATTATGTCATGTCAGTGCGTTGTAATTGGATGAATGGTAATTTCACGCGTTGTGATTGGTTCAACTGATTCTATACCGTGGCCGTGTCAGGCGCGGTGATCGTAATTATGTCATGTCAGTGCGTTATACACTGAATTGAATCGTTGTCGGGTTCAGAAACATAGAACATAAAAGCTGAGACTGAAACGGCACATGGGAAATGACATAATTATATTATAATTTACTCATTTGCGCCATCCATGCAGTCGGTTTAGAATGCCAAACACGTATTAAAAACAGTGGATGATGCCACGGGTCGCCAGTCACAGCATGCATCTAATTAACGTACTAATAATAACCGAAATGGCACATGGGAAATGACATAATTATATCATATTTTATTCATTTGCGCCATCCATGCAGTCGGTTTAGAATGCCAAACGCGTATCAAAAACAGTGGATGATGCCACGGGTCGCCGGTCACAGCATGCATCTAATTAACGTACTTCCCATGTGCCATTTCGGTCTCAGCTTCTATGTTCTATGTTTCTGAACCCGACAACGATTCTTCAATTGAGTAGAATTGGATCAATGATAATTTCAAACCATTCCATGCCGTGACCGYGTCGTGATGAATGCTTAGTCTACTCTAACAATCATCACTGTTTTTGATACCTCCAGACTTACTCTTTAAGTTTCCTTAATTCGAAATATTTCATTCTTAAGGTTCCCAACTTGACGAAGTTCAAAAGATGAACGTCATACCACCACCATGGTTACTGAGTATATACAGCCAACATTATCATGCAGTAAGTGCTCGTTTTCCTTATATCCTTTGCGTAGTAGTTGTACAATGGTTACTCTTACGATATTATAGGTTGCGCAGTGCACCCACTTATAATGTGACACAAGATTGTACAATGGTTACAGAGTAACTGTCTGTCTCACAC